TGCTTCCATTTTTCTCATTTGATTTATTGTCTTTGGACTGTCTTTTTCTGCCTTTCGTGAACTAAAGAAATTATATCCTTGACTACCTAATAGATCTTCAAAAGCATCTCCACTTGATTTATTCGTTTTATTGCCTGAGGCAGTATTATCAGAAGCATTGGTCTCATTAATTGTATTTCTGTGCGTATTAGGACTCGAATGGATTGGCGTGCTAGCAGGAGCAGGACTAGTTGATTGTGGAGTATTAGAATTTTTTGGTGTTCCATTCCAGCTAGAAGTTAGTCCAGCTCCCAAAGAGCTGGCAAGATTTGTGAAGGGATCTTTGTTTTGAGCTGTAAAATTCGGAACGCTCGAATTTCTTGGAAAGTTTTCTTCAGATGGAGGTTTTGCATTATTCGATTTAGTGTTTCCTAACAGATTGTTTACAGTGCTTTTACCAAGTGGATCAAATAAATCTTCGAGATTTTGTTTTGTAATAGATTGATTTTGATTGAAGAATAAATCGCTCAGATTATTGTTACTATTATCATTCCTATTAAGAGGCTGATCGTGACCAAAAAGTAGGTCATTCTGAACGGGATTAGTAATAGTGGGTACAGTATTTTTCGTTTCTTGTTGAATAAAATTACTGAATCCTCCTAAGAGATCACTTTCTTTTTGACTAGAATTAGAAAAGATATCTAATCCTGGATTCGCTGCAATTTGTGGAGTATTGTTTATGGTACTGGTGCCTGGCATTCCTAAGTTTAACAAATCAGCTTCTTGTAACTTGATTTCTTCTTCTTTCTCTATATTTTCTACGGATTGTTGAGGTACTTCTTGTTGTACACTAACATTGCTTTGTGCTTCAACTGGTGATGGAACTATAGTTTCCTTTTGACTCTATTATTTTAAAATTAAAATAATTAAAATATATAACTGAAATATTAAATTATTTTTAAAACCATATAACTTACTTCTTCTGGTTTAGCAGTTCTAAAACTTTCTAAAGTCTCCTCCATTTCTAAAGTAGATCCAAATAATGGATCTGGTTCTATTTCAGAATGTAATTCTGCTTCCCAAGGAGCTGGAACTCTAGCCATTTTCGAATTCTCTTCAGACATTGCGATATTTAAAATAACACTGAAATTTCCACCAATTTCAGGTGCGTCATCTAAATCCTTTTTCTTGAATATCAATTCAGATTCAGTATGTGGTATGTAACCCGTATGAAAGTGAACAGAAGCAATTTTAATTCCAATCATACGTCCCAATTGCTGCCTTGCATGAAATATAACTAGAGTAACATCTCCTCTAACTGTAGCATTACCAAGTGCTAATGAAACCTTTCCTTTCATCATTCCAAACAATTTTATATCTTCATATTCTGGTCGTTTAGTAGAGAATACTAAAGCTCCATTGCTATAAATATCAATATAAGGTCTACAACCATCTTTTGCCCTAGTAAATAATGGAACTGGTTTAATTATTAAAGAACGAAGAATTAAAGGCTTAGTATGAGGTTGTACACCGGCACTCAGCAAGCTCATATAATTAATACTACGTAATTCTGAAGGCTGCAACTGAGGAGATTGTCGTCTGGTTGTGAACATCGCTATTGCCTCCTTAGGAGTATTAAACGCTTTAGCATAAATTAACAAGGTACAGGCAATTGTGGCACTAGTTGTGTACCCATCCTAAAAAAAGAAAAATATATTATATTTTTTAATTAATATAAATTATACAAATTTAATATGCACACATAGAGTGCACATTTAAAAATAAAAATAAAATAAAATAAAATAAAATAAATAAATGAAATAAAATAAAAAATATAAATTTTGTATTTTTGTTAAAGTTTCATTATTTGATGTAGAAATAAAAATCTTTCTTTTCTATTATATTTTATAATAATTTCACTACAATAATTTTGTAATTTTTCAATTTCAAATATTTTATATACTTTATACTTACATTGCAATATAATACTACAATGTGATTAAAATCGGCATTCAAGTACCGATAAATATCTTGACATATCTGATATAAGGCTGATAATAACGGAGCATTAGAATCCGAGGAAGCATAGGCAAAAGAACAGTCAATATGTCTACCAGGAAGTCTAGACATATTTGGTCGTCCCCGAGATAAATTATATAATTGTATACGAGCTGGTGGAGGATGTCGAGCTTGTAAAAATGCTCTTACATCCTCTATGTGATTAGCTCTGTAAGCAGATTCTATTCCATCTGCTGGATAGGGCATAATTAATATACGCGACGTTAAGTAACTGGCATCTAATTCAGTTCTGGCCATGCTTTGTTGCATAGAGTACATCATTTTGCTTGAAGTATCCTTTAGGTTTCGCAAAATGTTACCAGCACCGCCTTTCAATGAGCTAAATAGGCCTGTTGTTTGAGCTACAGGGACCTTGGCAACAGTCTGAGTCATTGAGACAGATTTTGAAAGAGGTACATTTGTTGGAGGAGATGGTCTCGGTGGTGGAGTAGGTGTACTGGGTGGTTGAGCAGGTCTAGGAGGCGGTGGGGTTTTCATTGGGACTTCCACTTTTGGGGGTTCTCTGGGATCAAAATTGTTCGACTCAGCTATCGCCGCTAAACGCTCCAGAATCATTGATGTAGTCAATCTTCGTACAGGAGATACCTCCAGGCATCCTTTTACTATGTCGTGAAGGCAAATTAAACGAGGATTAGGTGGAAGTGGAGCATACTTCCCATTGACTATTGCAAGTTTGTTACCTACAAATAAAATGAAACTAGATAAGAATTGGTTCCATTATTAACATAATATAAATTTTATACCTTCAGGAAATGGATGCCTAAGTGTTATTAAGGAGTATATTATACAGCCAAGTGCCCAGCAATCAACTGGAGGACCAATAGGCTCATTGTTCCATGTATCCATCATTTCTGGAGCTCGATACATTGGTGTAGTATATTTTGCCATTTGATCCTCTAAAGTAGCTCGTTTCTGAGCATTCCAAGAAGGATTAGGTAAAATTTGCTGATTGGAAGTACTTCCGAAATCGCAAAGTTTAATCAGACCATCACTTCCAATAAGAAAATTCTCTAATTTTATGTCTCTGTGTACTAGTGGTTCAGGTTGTTGACTATGCATATGATGCACAGCTCTTGTAGCTTGATAGGCTATTTTACAAATCTGAGCAAGAGTCAGAGTGTTTGTAGATAAATTTCTAAGTGTATCCGCTACTGTACCTCCAGGGCATAATTCTGTTACTAATAAATACTCATATCCTTTACGATCTTCACGATCCAAACGCTGAGCATAAAGATACTGGATTATGTTTGGATGACCAGATAATCTTTTTAAAGTTTCTATTTCTTGTATAATAATTTTATTAGTATCTTCATCAATTGCTATGAGTCTCTGAAAATATAAGTCCATATTAGAATGACTTTTTTTTTAATTTTTTAAAATAATATAAATGTAAATAATTCACCTTAAGTGCATATTCTTTTCCTGTTTTTATATCTTCAACAGCAAATACTAAAGCCCAACCACCTGTTGATACAAGTATTTTAATATTAATTACAATAAATAACTTGAAAATAAATATAATTTTTAATATTATACAAATATTTAATGAATTTTTTACTGATGAATTTTATTATTTCATTGATATCTTTTAAATATCAATATTTGAATGAATTAAAATTTCTTTAATAAGAATAAAACTTTTAAATTGAAAATATAATTTTATTATAATAAATTATATAATATTTAAATAATGAATTATATATTAAATTTTCAAAAAACAATATCTATAAATATAGATATTTAAATGCATTTAGATAATTAATTATTTTTCTTTAATACTAATATAGATCATAAAGTTCGGTCATATTCGTATTATATAGCTGAATGTCAAAACAAATTTGACACATGTCAAAAGGAGGATAATTCACACTGTTGGCACAATGTCAACCATTTTTTATATCATTTGAATTACATAAAAAAATAATTTTATTTGATAATTAGAAACAATCATAACGCAGAAATATTTTAATTAAAATAAAATTGTTTAGTAATGAGATGATAGAAGGGTTGACAGACTCACCCTCGGCGAGTAGCTTAGTCACGCGTAATTTCACATTGTTGATTTCCAATATTTGTCCGACGTATTCATTAGTATTCGTGGCTCCGTTCAAGTATCCTAAAGCGGATCTTAAGTAATCTGACATATTTCCTTTAAAATATCCCGTCGAACCCCCAAAAAGCGTTTTCGTACGTTACAATGCAGACAGCCGATGCTGTCCGGCCATACTGTCTTTGTGACGTCATCAACAGTATCGTACCAACAATATTTTTATATTTTAATAATTGTTATTTTCATTAATATTAATTATTTAAATAATTAAAAAATTAAGAGAAAACTTTGTTATGATATTAATTATGTAAATTTAGGCTAAATTAAATCTTTTATTTAGCAATAATAATAAAATTAAATATATATAAATATAAATTAAAAATAGTCTATATATTTTTTATTTTTATTATTTAATTGAAAAATTTTTCAATTTATGGTTTTTGAAATTATATAATGCTTTTTATATTGCATTAATTATTCGAGATTAAATTAGAAATTTGAGATTGTTTTGTAATAATAATTATAAAAAAAATGTATTATTATTCTTTATAGATAAAAAATTTAGAGAAAATTATAGTATATAAAAATCTTATTGCTTGATTTTTAAAAGAAGTATAATTCATTACATTGTACAAAAGACGCGCATGCGTAAAGAAAATTTCGTAAATTCATTATCTAAAGCAAAACAAACTATATTTTTTCTTTGATTCTATGAATTTTTTCTTCATGTATTACTAATTCAATTATTAATAATTATAGTAAAATCTATGTTAGTCTGAAATAAACAAATACGTTTAATAATCATATTTTATAACTGTTATTATTGTTATCATTTCGGTGTTATATTTTTATTAAATACATGAATATTATATTATTATATGATTAAATCATTTTCAGAAATTAAAAATGTCGGAATTTGTAAAATTTACAAAACTCAGATCTACTACAGATTGTACATTTTGGGCAAAATTTGTAGAATTGAAGATTGACAAGTTTAAATTGGATGAGAAAAGTATCAATTTATGGGGAAGTTATAGTCTTCAATCATTGAATGAAGATAATTTTAATCCATTGGTGTTGGATTTCACATCGTTCAATGAGTAAGTTTATATCTAAAACATATATATGTAATTGCTTTAATTGGTTTATTTTAAATAATAGATATATAAGTCAGAGTTAATTCTATATAGGTAATTTTTAGAGACTTGGAAACAATAAATAATAAATCATCTGTTATTTGTTTTGGACATATGATTAATACAAATACTTTTGAAGCATTTCGTCAAATTAATCCTGAACAATTTATTGATTCTATGGGAAAAGATATTATAAATAGTATTCAAGATGGAACAATATTACAAAATCCATGGAAATTATCATTATTTTTAGTATTAGCTTATTCAGATTTAAAAAAATTTAGATTTTATTACTGGGTTGCACATCCTACTCCCTTAAAATTACCAGAAATGTATTATGAAGAAATTCCAAAATCGATCACAGAAGAATTCTCAGAGAAACATGTTGAAGATTTATGTAATGATTTTTTACATTTAGATTGTAGAACAAAAAATTATTTCACAGTACTAATATCAAAAGAAAATAAAATATGCATTGTTGACCTAGCAACAGGAATAAATGCTATCAACGTAAATAATGAAAAACAATCACAGGTAAGATAAATTTTAAAATAAAAATATTTTAATATATTTATTATTTACTTATTATTTATTATTTTTTAGGATTACATTGAAATTTATTTTGCATTTTATGATCCATGTACAAGTTCCAATCCAGGCTGGCCTTTACGTAATCTATTATGTCTTTTATGTTGGTATTGTCCTACACATTATTTTTCAAAAATTATTAAATTCATATCCATACGAGGAAATAAGGCACAGAAAAGTCTCGTTTTTAAACTAAAAACTAAAGAATATAAAAATTATAAAAACATAAGAGATAATCTGTTTCTGAGTCATCTAGTGGGTTGGGAGAGCAATTTAAATGATAAATTAGGTCCCACTATAGCTGATTTATCTGATACTATGGATCCAACTAAGTAATTATTTAAAAATAACTTAAATACAAATATTGAAAATTTACCAATTACCTATTATTATTTCATTAATATTTTTATTTTTTATTAGGTTATCAGACAAAGCTATTAATTTAAATCTAAAACTAATGAAATGGCGTCTTGTTCCTAATTTAGATCTAGAAAAGATTTGTAATCTTAAATGTCTTCTATTGGGTGCTGGAACTTTGGGTTGTTCTGTAGCAAGAGTTCTCTTAGGTTGGGGAGTAAACAACATAATTTTCGTCGATAGCTCTCATGTATCTCATAGTAATACTGTACGTCAAAGTTTGTACAATCATCAGGATGCTATAAAGCATAAATATAAAGCTCATGCAGCCAAAGATGCCCTGCTAAACATCCGACCGAGCATAGTGAGTATTATAAATAATTTTTTTTTATATGAAACTTCATTATATTAATTTTATTAATAATATAGAATACAGAAGGTATAGTTTTACATATTCCAATGCCTGGACACGTTGTTGGTCAAAGCATGCTGGAATCTACAAAGCAATCTTTGAAAAAATTAGAGGAACTTATTGAAATAAGCGATGTTGTCTTTCTTCTATTGGATTCTCGGGAAGCTAGATGGTTACCTACGGTTCTTTGCGCTGCTAAAAACAAAATTACTATCAATGCAGCCTTGGGTTTTGATTCTTATACTGTACAGAGACATGGTACTCGAAATTTTAATAATCAAATTTCTCCAGACTTGGAAGTTAAAAATCCTCGTGGTATGGATCTTGGTTGTTATTTTTGCAACGACGTAACACAACCGGGAAATGTAAGTTTATGGACTAAATCTAAAGGATTTATACGAATTTTATTTTTTAATGAAAGCTGTTTTATTTTATAGTCACAAACTGACAGAACATTGGATCAACAATGCACAGTTAGTAGGCCAGGTTTATCACAAATAGCTGCAGGATTGGCAGTAGAATTATTGATAGCTCTATTGCAACACCCTGAAGGGTAAGAATTGAATTTAAATTTAATTAGATATTACACTTTATATACTATATTATATTTATACATATAGTATATAAGAATAAAAGAATTTATACAATTGCTTTATCATTAACGCTTGATGATTTATTATTTTATATTTAACAGTGTTGAAGCAGAAGCATTAGTGGGAAATAGCAGAGATAATATCAATTCAAATGACGCAAAATTGGTTGGTTTATTAGGATGTGTACCACATACTATACGCGGATCCCTATGGAATTATGATACCCAACTGACGATTACTCATAGATTTACATCTTGTACGGCCTGCTCTGTGCCTGTTATTATTGAATATAAAAATCGGGGTTTATCTTTTGTTTTGGATGCGTGTAATATACCAAATTATTTAGAAAAGTTGTCAGGATTAGAAGAAATACTTAAACGACCCGATTTGGATGAGGTATCTTAATTTTATAAATTTTATTAATTAATTTAGTTTGTTAATTTTTTTAAATATATTTAATTACAGCTTTGCTATGCATTGGATAACATAAGTGATGAAGACGAAGACGATCAAAAAATGTGATAAATATTATACAGAATTACAGAATTAGAAATTTTATGCTCATTTAAATAAGCATAATCATCGAGAAAAAGAATTATGGATTCATCTTCCTTTTTTTTTTTTTCGGTTTCTACAATATTTTAAATTTTTTTTCCTTGACGAAAATGTATTTGACATGTGTAATATAATACTTAAAAAATTCAATTTTATCATGGAAAAAATATTGAAAATTTATCGTGGAATATATTTCAAGACTATATGAATCTAATATTCATTTTCAATTTTTTCATCAATTTTATTTATTTTATTTTAAATTTTTATTATAATATTGACATTTGACGTAGATTATTTATGTCAAAATATATTATAAATTTAGAATTTATTCTATTATTGGTATAACTTTTATATAAAGATTTTATATGAAAATCGAAATAATATATATATAGAGATTATGTCTCTTGTTTTAAACGTTATAAATATCGTCAAATAAAATAAATTTCTTGAAAAAAAAATATTCTATTCAACATTTCCTATATTATTAAAAAAATTATTTATAATTAAATTAAAATTATTTATATAATTATTTCCTAATAATTATTCAAAAATTGATGTTAATGAATAATGATAAAAAAAATTAAGAAGAATTTTCTTGATAAAATTTTATATATCAACAAAAAATTATGTAAAATCCATATTATAAATAAATATAATTGTTGGAGGGAAAACAGGGAATTTTTAAATTATATTTATATGAATATTGTGACGCGCTTGCGTCTTTGACAATTTTGCCGATAGAGCGCGTTGCGACGAATGAATGCCTGACATTCCAACGTAATATTTAAGTAGTGGGGAATCGAGGCTGACTCTCGTGTGTCAAACAGCCTGTGTTCCGTGTGTGTTCGATCGCATACCATTAGATTTTCCATCGTTTTCAATGAAAATACGTACTGTACATTAGTTCGACGTGTCAGCGGACATTGTGCCGGATGTTTGATTCTATATTCATTGGCTTGTCATAGCAAAACCAACGGTGAGTTATCATGATAATGGGGGGAGAACCACCTTAAGTTCGATTTACCTCGAGGAATGCGTGGCTTGTTCCTTTTTTTCTTCACGCTACGTCGCATTCTTCTATCGATTCCTGCTTCAAAGCGGGTGGAGAGGTGAGGAAGAACGTTTCGTTTGCTTAGTCGGTAAAAAAGTATTAAAATTGTTATCGATCATCTACTTTCCATTGAGAATAATTTAAAAAATTTTTTTATTGGACGATTTTGAAAAACCATTTGTTATTGCTTTAAAATTTTATAATTTATAATTATGCATGTGTTTTTATGTGTATATTTGTTATTATATTATATTAGAATTCGCGTGTCCGGTATTTCATTGATTCATCTTTTTCAATGAATTCTGTCCATCAAAAGATAAGTATTTATAACTTTTTTGATTTATTAGTAATTAAATAATTATTAATTTTTCAAATTTTTTTTGTAATTAACTTAGTAATAATTTAAAAGTTTGATATGGAAAAATGAGAAATAATTAAGAAGATATATTTTAAAAAGAATCATATAAAAATTCGAGAAAATTTTCTGAGATAAGAATAAAATTTTAAAATTATAAAATTGGCTATTTTTTATTTGAATTACAACTCAATATTAATTTTTTTTTCAATTTATATATTTCATTATATTTCATTTATATATTTCATTAAAAAAAAAAATTTCAATGTTTATTACTGTTTATGTTAATATTTACTTATTCCTAACGAAAACATGAAAAATGGAATAATTAAAAAAAAAAACTATTTAAAAGGCATCATTTATGTTATTAGAAATGAAATTATGATGCCGGTTGCATGGAAGTTTGGAAAGGGAGCAGAGGGCACAATACAGGGCAAGAAGAGGAACAATGTAGTAATGGCTTCGAGAGTGCTTTCGAAATTTATATATGTTGTTCAAATTTTTACAATATACGAATGTTCATCGTCAATAAATTACCATCGATTATATCTTAATATTTCATCAAAGATTTTAAGTAAATTTTATTTTAGCATACCAAATATTTTTTATCGATCTTTATATTTCATAAAAATATTTGATGAGATTAAAGGTCAAAAATACATTTCAAATTTAGAGATCATTATTAATTTAGATAATTAATTACATTAAATATCATATTTAGATAATTGTTTAAAAAAATTTACATTTCGATCTCACAATATTAAATAATAATGAAGATAAAAACCAATGATTAAACTATCATTATCCTATATATCACAACATTTATTTATTGTTAATTAGTGACAAATGGAAAAAATATAAAAAGGAGGGAAAATTTAGATAAAAACAATTCGAAGCCATTACTTCGACATATTAACAGTGGGAGGAGTGGGATCGAGTGGATACGCGTGGGGACTCGCGAAGCGACGTAGGGTGGGCTATATGCGGGGCTACGGAGGACGCGGGCGGCAGATCTCTGGTGAGGGGTCCGCATTCCACAGACAATGTCACGTTTTTTAATCCTCGTTTTACTTTATTTGTGCTTGCTTCGGTCGCGAGGAAGGTCCCCAAACAGTTAACTTCGACTTCTGTCCTCAGAAAGCAGAGATCCTTGTGACGGTGTTGGGCTCGTCAACGTTCCATCGCGGGAATTTCAACCCGTGTTGAACACCTGCTGCATCCCTAACGAAAAGTACCTGCCTAATTGTGAATAAGTGAAGTTTGTTGGTTTTTAAATTAAAATTCAAAGGGTTGAAATTGGTGGAATCAAGAATATCTTTTTGGAGAATTTTGGAATTTTGGAAGGAAGAGAAGAGATGTCTGCCGTCGAGAGCGCCTTGGATGTCCTCTCCAGGGCGGCCACTATGGTGCAAGGTCAGTTTGCCTCGTGACTTATATTTTCAACGGACTTGGAGATTGTTCGTGATTATTGGATGATCAAGGTTCTAGTGGGTTGGGATTAAAATCTGAAATCTATATAGTAGAATATTTTTTAGCTTATAATATATATCAATAATGACAAACTTATTAAAATCAGTTTCTATTTTAAAATAAGGATTACTTAAGATTGAAAGCATTATAATTGATGTACGAGCTATAACAAAAAATATAATAGTAGTAAAATCCATAATAATAAAAAAATTAATTTAGTGCACTTTGAATTGCTCAGATTTTTATAATAAAATATAAAAATACAAAAATATAAATCATAAAATAAAAATTATAAAAGTAAAATTAAAATTACAAGAAATGAAGCAAGAATATAAATTATATTATTGATTATGTTTTTTATGAAATCCTGTAAGAGAAGTTGTATCAATTTCTAATTTCTTATTTTATAATTTCACATTACAGAAAAAGTAGAAAGTCATAATTCTTAAATTCCATTTCTATGAAATGGAAAAAACCAAATTGTTTGCAGATATCTTTACCAAATATGTATATATATGCTCCAAAATTTTATTTAAAAACAATCCAGTTTTCTTCCTAAAAATTCCTGAGTCCATGAAGACGATAAAAAAATCGCATTTCCCTAACTAATTGAAAAATATAAATTATGATCTGTCGAAGCGATTGATGAAATCTGTCCAATAGGATTGTTCGTGATTTATGTAAGAAGAGAGGCTAATATGAGCACGCATTCCTGTGAAATGCCAATTTCGCGTCGAATTAGATAACATTGTGCGGCGTTTATTTTAGATTCGTCGCGTTTGCAGCTTCTCTGACGAGTTTCTTAGTAAAAGCCTCAAATGAATTTTCTGTGACGTTTAATTTTAATTAAAAAAAATCTTTATTCTACACAATTTAACATATTCGAATATAACGATTGAATTGAACTTTTTGTTGAAAAGAATCAATCTAGCATTCTGTATTTTAAAGTCGCTTCTCGCGATGCTATGGAATATTTGTTAGCTATTTGTATGCTATTTTGACAATATTATAATGTGTAATTGAATATAAACAATTATTTTTTTCATATTCGAATTGTTGAATCATTTTATTATATTGCTATAAGTTCATTTTAGTATTTTATTATTGAAGAATCGATAAATTTAATTATTTCTGAAATATATTTTAGGTAATTTAAGTTATGCGAAAGGAGGAAGTGGAAGTGCGAAGCTACGTTTTTTAATGGAAATTGAGTTCGAAATCTTTTCTTTCTTATTTCATTTCAAAGATTTACAAATATTTACAATATTTCAAAATAAGGCAAAAAGGAATATTTACAATATTTCATAAGAAGGCGAAAAGGAATAATGATTGTTTAATTAAAAATTGAAATCAATTTTTTATTTCTATCTTTTGTAAAAAGGATTATTTGAGAATTTATGAATTGTAAATTTTATATTATTTATAATATAAATCAAATAGAATTGATTTAAATGACACAGTGAAAAATTTGAATGGTCAGAAAAAATTATAGCTGTAAAGTATGACGTATTAGAGAAAAGGTTCCACTTTCGAGGGCAATTGGGAGCATGACAACGCATCCGCGACGATGATTTTCATAAATCATCGGATTGCTATTGGAGCGAACAGTGGAGCGTAACAAGCCCCGATTCTCGGGAGTGTGACTGGTTCCTCTTGTATGTGGTTTGTTGTGATGGAATGCCGTGCCTCGAACCTGTTCCGAATACCAGACGTAGTTACGTCTACTTGCGAATGATGGCGCGTTCTGTGACTTTCTCGAGAGTCAAAAATACATTTTCTCAGTCGGTTTCACTAGTTATCGACATAGTCTTAATATTTCATTACAATATCACAGGGTAAATAGTTTGATTAACTTAATTTTTTAATGTCACAAATATTAAAAAGAATTGTAGATTCAAAATATTTATTTTAAATTCGATTGAAAGAGATTTAAACAATATGTAATCTAAAACATAGAAATTTCGATACTTTCAAAATTTTAAAGAATCATGGAAAAAAAATCATTATTTAAAAAAGAGGGAGTAATATTTAAATTTTATATTAATTCTATATCAAAAAATAGAATATACATGTTTTAATCTGCATTTAAAAATATTGAGTTTCAATATGTGTGATATCACAAATTTCTTTTTAATTCAGCAGATTCCATAAGGTGTGAATTACGCTCGTCTTGCAGGAATATCGAATGTATATTTCAATTAAATTCAGTTTTTGAAGCATGAGGAAGAAATATAGAGATGTGTGTTTGAAATGTGTTGAAATATTCGATGAATGTACACCCACAAAGCCGCAATTCGCATATATACAACGTCTGATAACCATACGCGATTACCTGGTTGCGTTGCTATTAAAATGCCCGGCATTCCTGTTCGATGCCTCACAATTCCTCGAGGATAACTTGCCACCTTGATCTTGCTTAGGAATTACATGGTTACAATAATATAGAATCTTATAGGTTGATCTTCAAATAGATAGATTTTCTTAAATATCATTTATTTACTATCGCTAATTTTATTTTTTATTTTCTTATTAAAGGACATAAAATATTTTCAAGAATAATATTATTATTATTCTTAATAATAATAATAATGATATGATAATAATAAAATTATCTGGGAGTTCTGATTTCTCTTATTATTTGAATTATGATTCTTCTTTTTCATTTTTATATAATTTTTTTTTTATTAAATTTAAAAAAAATAATTTTTATAAATAGGTATATAAAATCTATAAAATAATACTTATAAATAGATATTTTTTTATCGTTTTTATTTTATTATTATTATTATCAAATATATTATTAAGCTTTTTTAATCTTCTTTAACAGGTATTTTATTAATATACAATGATCATTGTAAACAAAAAGTGAATATATATTTTGTTTTAAAAATTAAAAGAATATATTCAAAGTATAATAATTCTTCAGACGATATAGTATTTGAATTCGAATACATACTTTCCATAGAATTGAAAAGAATCTGAGGATTCTTATCAGGTGAATTTTTTACGCGAGCGTGACAGCGTGGACGTAGTGTGCACGTGTACTGAACGCCATGTGCATCGATCGCTTACTTACCTGTCACAGAAAAAAAAGAAAAAGAGGAAGAAGATAGAAGAAAGAAACGAATTAGTTGGCCGAAGATGCTTATATCCCCTATACACTCACACTGTTGTAGCCAAACAGTAATGGGTTTGAATCGTTTTAGCTACAGAATTGCATATTGTTCAAATATAGAAATATAAAACCATTATAATTTTTTAATCTTCTAAAATATCATAATTAACTCTCATAGCATTTTTAATCTAAGAATTATTTTTTAATTTGAATTTTGAAGGATTTTTATTTAGGGATCTTCAAATAATCGT